TTGTGACATGATGAGCCAATTCTGACCCCAGATTCGTGTTCAGGAAGCCAAATTACTACGAAAACTATATGTCGCATAAAAAGTATACCCAACTTTTTTTTTTCTGTGTGTCTGAATTAAGCTGATGCATAAATATAACATTAAACTATTAAAGCATATTATTAACTTGTGTTACCTACTTATCCCAGTTTAAGCAATCAATTACCGTACCTGTTCATAAGGTTAGTGCTATAGAAATTGTAACAAATTATAAGCCTAAATTGGTTATAAACAGCTTGCAAAAATTTTTGAACAATCAAAAGTTTGGTTAAGAAATTACTACTAATATGTATTAATATGGCACACCTTCGTCCCAAATGTTATTTTACCACAAAAATACAGTGGAGAATTTTTAATAATTAACTGGTAAAACATATTGCATAATAGTTTTGTCTACTTGTCATCGTCTACATTTTTTAATCTCTGTGTACTTGTGTATAGATCTTATTCCACGTAGTAACTGAAGTAGAAATGGGAAAATACCTCCGCCCCTTTGTAAATGTACTTATATGTATATTGTTTTGCAGGTATCCTTATAATTTCAGTTCTTATTTTATTTATTTCAAGTTTACTCCTTGTATTTCATTCTTGTACTTCTAAAGTACATGATTAATTATTTTTATTAGTCAGAATTAACAAGTTTTCAATCAAAACTGGACAAAATACTTGCAAAATGTATTTAAAATACATATTGCAGAATACATCTTTGGCAAAGTATTTTAAATATAAATTACTTAATATTTAAAACAGTATTTTAAATGGCCAACTAGGAAATGTTTTTTTTGACGTCAATTAGTATTAGCGATTTTTTTCCAAAAAACATTACGTATTATCATTAAACATGCCTTAAAATGTCTTATCACCAAGTTTCATCAAATTCGATACATCTTCAGGCGAGCAATCCATGATATCACGCGAAATAATGCCTTGTGGAGTACGGAAACCTATAATTGTACAGAGCTCAGAGCATACATAAGTGATTACAAGCCAAATGACCAGTTATTTTCTTGGAGCAGGAATTTTATTTCCTTCTCGTTGGCAATTAAGTTTCAGTAAAATTATAACAAGAAGATGAAGTTTACATTTAACGGTTTGTTATTGTTTATTTTAAAGAATTCATTACTTACCAATAGGTAACGCTAAGATTGAGTTATTTTTAATTGACAGTAGCAGCCGTACAATGTTGGTTGCCTAAACTCAGCAGTCATATGGCTTGTCATGATCTATGAAGGCCCCGTTTTTGACATGTTTTAAAATTAAAGCCTTGTTTTGGAAAATTCCCTGTATATGCAATTTTTTCAGCGACCCACTACTGCAGGGCTCCGATAATGACCCTTCGGCGAAGAGTGATTGTAAAGACGCAGAAAAGGATGGATTTAAACGCTCCAATAAATACAACACATCACCTCATAAGGACACTTCGCAACTGCCGATTTATAAATGTGATGGTTGCAACTACGAATCGAAGAATAAAACACTTTTTATCAAACACCAGTTGGTACATAAAGATCCTTCGGAAGTACAAATGTACAGGTGTAACGACTGCGATTACGAAACCAGATATGAGAGGGCTATCAAACAACACCAACTGAAACATAAAAATCCTTCTCAGGTTCAAACGTACAGGTGTAAGGACTGCGATTACGAAACTAAATACAGGGAGGGTATCAAACAGCACCAACTGACGCATAAAGATCCTTCGCAGATCCAAATGTACAAGTGTAACTACTGCGATCATAAAACTAAATACAAGAGGAATATCAAACGGCACCAACTGAAACATAAAGATTCTTCGCAGGTTGAAATGTACAGGTGTAATGATTGTAACTATGAAACTAAATTCAGCAGTTATATGAAACGACACCAACTGGTACATAAAGATCCTTCGCAGGTTCAAATGTACAAGTGTAACGACTGCGTGTACGAAACTATATACAAGACTAGTATGAAACGCCACATGTTGGGGCATCACCAAGTGACATTTAAGAACTCTTCACTGAAGTCGATTTATAAATGTGATGTTTGCAACTACAAAACAAAACATGAGAAATATTTTGCTAGTCATCAGTTGGTACATGAAGATCCCTCGCAGGTCCAAATGTTTAGGTGTAACGAGTGCGATTATGAAACTAAATCAAGCAATCGCATGAAAACGCACAATCTGAAGCATAAAGATTCTTCGCAGGTTCAAATGTACAGATGTAACGACTGCAATTATGAAACTAAATACAGGGGTGATATCAAACAGCACCAGCTGAAACATAAAGATCCTTCTCAGGTTCAAATGTACAAGTGTAACGACTGTGATTACGAAACTAAATACAAGGGTTATATTAAGAAGCACCAGTTGAAACATAAAGATCCCTCGCAGGTTCAAATGTACAGGTGTAATGAATGCGATTATGAAACTAAATACAGTAGTAGTATCAGATGTCACATGGTGAAGCATGTGGGTCCTTTGCTAGAATAAAAGCACACATACGATTTTGAAACTATACAGACATAATAAGAATGTTAAAAAAAATATTCACAAGTGTCGGTTTACAAGTGCATTGTTTGTGACTACGAATCTAAGTACGAAAGAAAGACTTTTAACAGTCATCAAGATCATTCACAGGTTCAAATGTACAGTTGTAATGAGTGCAGTTACAAAACTATATATAGGAAATGCACCAATTTGATTTTTAAGCACAACTTATGCACAGAAAATGTATGAATATGAAGTAAAATGTAAAAAATAGACATATGATTTTGGACTAGCATTTGTAAAAATTACTAATACCTAGTATAAATAAATAATAATGGCTGTGCCTTTGTAAAAATGTAAAAAATGTAAAAATGTATGACAGATACATTGCAATAGGTATACAATTTTATCTTAAATTCTTTGATCAAAATACAAATTATAACCCCGCTGCAAAATGAATAATGATTACATATTACTGTGGTCAAAAGGTCATTTGATCAGCTGCAACTACAAAGACGTAGAAGAATAATGTAAATTATAAAATTTTGCCCAATCTATACTAATAGAAACAACAAATGTAACAAACGTAACTTAAATTTAGACGTATGAACCTAATTCTACAAACCTATCTTTGTGCATTGGTCATTAATTATAATTTTAAATATTTTTCTCTTAAACGAAGCTAAAGGAATCTTTTAGGGAGACGGAAATATTATTACATTGTTTTTATATCTGGCTTAAAGAGGATATTTTAAATTGTTGTATTTCGTGTTACGGAATGTCAGTAGCAGTTCTTTGAGGAGTAATTGTACGGTATCTAATTTTCTTGATGTTAACACATGTAATTTTCAGTGATTTTACATATCCAGACATTCGGTTTTTTCTGATGCATGTGAAATTTGATCAAATTTTGTTTATCCCATATACTGTTTTATACTATACGCCACAAAAGTCATATTTACTTTTTTTGGAACACTTCAATTACACATCACACACATCACACACATCATCACACATCATCACACATAATCATCACATCATCACACTTCACACATTTAAAATTAATCCTGCATCCTACGTAATTTTATAATTTCCATCTAATTCTGAGAATTATAATAACTCTGTCCCCTTCTCTAATTATTAACTATTCTGCATTGTGTATTAGTGTTATTTTCAGAGCTAGGAATAAGTTTTAATCACCGTTGTAGTTTTTGTATTAGTAGGCTTGTATAAATTAAAGACAATTCAACTATATGTGATGACTTTTTATCTTAATGTAACACCGATCTCTATCATGAAGCTATGTTACATTTATGAGAACGTATTTTGAAATATATGTATTTCAAAGTGTCTTTTTACATCACTGAACAAAAAAAAATAAAGAAAAGTGTTGCATTCTGCTAATACCATCTCGGCCATCTGTACAATATGGAGAGCTTGAACACTAAACCTGAATCCAGTGGCTGCTCGTCGTATGAAGCAATTGAGGCCGAGCTTCAATGTAAAATTGTTTCAGTTAGGGGTTAATGTACGCGTCGTATAGTACGCAGCTGGTGTCTGATGTTAGTGTGACAGATTTAAAATTTAAAGGCTTTAAGGATAAGGACGAGGAAGATATTAATTTAAAGTAAATGAAAAACAACTTCCTTACAACAAAACAAAGTAAAAACTTAACGTAATTTACTAGATACTTATTATATTATCAAATACCTACATAGGTAGCTAATAATGAAACTATTTAACAATATTGTTTTATCTCAAAACACCTTTTTCAAGACGTAATAGCGTAAACTACTGCTCCTAAACAAATTAAAATCGCTAGTCAACGAATTTTAAAATATTTTCGATATATCTGTTACTTAATTTTATTGTAAATACAATTTTTTAAAGATTTATTACGGTTATAGTAGGGCTATTGGCGAATACCTCCATAATAAAATATGACGTGGAAATTTATTCCTATATATTATTTGAGAGCAGATTAATAAAATATCCAAATAGTTGCGTATTATTTTTTATAAAAACGATATTAAACTCAATAGTTATAATGTTGGATTGTTACATAATTAAATTTATGGTAGCAGCAGTTTTTTTGTAAAATCTGAAGGTAGGAGAAAATTTTCTGAAACGTACTTAATTTTAACGAGTCTATAAGTTTTTATGTGGAAATATTTTAAATATAATTGCTGTTCCAGGTTGATAATTAAATTTATAAAAAATCCGCAGTTATTGTATTTATCGGAAAATCTGATCATGTAAAAAAATCCGTAGATCTACAGACAAATCCGTAGATTTCACAACACTGCGTTATCTCCTTTTAGTGACCTTGATAGAAATCGCAATTCTATGATGGTGATCTGATTGAAAGAAATCTAAATTCAGATTACTTTTCTTTGTTCTTATAGTTCCTAGATTAGAAGAGGAAGAAGAGTAGCTTTTTCTACCTCATATTTTAATTGAGGTTATAAAATTCATAACTGTCCCCAGTTATGGTTTATCTTATCATATACTTTACAAAGAAATTGTTGCAGTTAGTGGTGTTCCAGAAACTGATGATGTATAGTATTATAAAAATATATCCGTCACCATTTATTTGTTAAAACCTGGACAAATAATTCAATATTAACGAAATGGAAATGGCAATTAAAGTTGAATGTGTCGATATAAAATCGGAAGTTGAGGAAATGTGGTAAGAAGCGGAAGGAATAAATTATGCTAGTTTATGAGTTCGGTGATAAATAAATTGTAACAAACGTATAGTATATCGGCTTTACTTTGAGACAAGTAAAGTAAACATAGAAAACTATACATTTATAGCTGTATGTTAAGGGCGCATGAATTATATTTAGATGGATTTAGTTAAGTTTTTCCATAAAAAGTACATTTCCATTATCTTGAAAATTTCAACCTTGAATAAATTTGATTTTCTTATGTGCTTTTGAAACTTGCGTTTGTGTTTTCCCAGAACTCGCTAATTTTTAAGTAGTTATTATAATTTGAGAGATTTTGGTCCAAGTTCCACAAAGTGAAGCGAGCAAAAACTTACAAAAAGCGGTAAAGTCTGTTCTTATAAAACTTTTATTATAGTAATTTTCTTTGAAATACAATATTAAGATTAAAACCTGATTTTCAAAAATACTCTGTATATGCAACTTTTTTCAGGGACCCGGCACCTTTGACCTCCGATAATGAACCATCGGCGCAGAGCAACTGCAAAGATGCAGTAGAGGACGGGTGTAAACGTGAGGAGGGATCAGCGAACGAATGCAATACGAAAACCAAGCAGGAGTGCAAAGTATTGTACAAATGTGTTAAATGTACCTACAAAACTAGAAGCGAGAGCTGTTTTACGCAATACAGTGTGAGACACGAGAATTATTCTGAAGTGCACAAATGTGAATCGTGTGAGTATGAAACTGAAATTAAGGAACTACAACAGATGCAAAGCTGCGAATCATGTAATTGCCAGACAGAGTGTAGGTGTGACTTTGTTAAGCAACATAAAAGTTCATCTGAAGCACGATTGTACAACAAATTGCAACATAAGGACGCTTCACAACCGCCAGTTTATAAATGCGAGGATTGCAACTACAAATCAAAGAATAAGAGACTTTTTATCAAACATCAGTTGGTACACAAAGATCCTTCGCAAGTACAAACGTATAGGTGTCACAATTGCGATTACGAAACTATATACAAGAGTTACATCATAGGACACCAACTAAAGCATAAAGATGCGTCACAGGTTCAAATGTACAGGTGTACCGAATGCAGTTATGAAACTAAATTTAATACTAACATAAAAAAACACCAACTTAAACATAAAGATCCTTCGCAGGTCCAAATGTACAAGTGTAACATCTGCGATTATGAAACCAAATACAAAGGTGCTATCAAACAGCACCAACTGAAACACGAAGATCCATCTCAGATTCAAATGTACAGGTGTAGCGAATGTGATTACGAAACTAAATACAAAAGGAATATCAAACAGCACGAACTGAAGCATAAAGACTCTTCGCAGGTTCAAACGTACAAGTGTAACGACTGCAAATACGAAGCTAAATACTGGGGTCACATCAAACGGCACCAACTAACACATCAAGATCCTTCTCAGGTTCCAATGTACAGGTGTAAGGACTGTAATTACGAAACTAAACACTGGAATTATATCAAACAGCACCAACTGAAACATAAAGATCCTTCGCAGGTTGAAATGTACAAGTGTAACGACTGCGACTACAAAACTAAATACAAGAGGAATATTAAACTGCACCAACTGAAACATAAAGATGCTTCGCAGGTTCAAATGTACAGGTGTAACGACTGCGATTATGAAACAAAATACAAGAGCAATATGACGTGTCACATGTTGAAGCATAGAGAAACTTCTTAAATTCAATTTTAGGGTTCAGACTTGCTAACAATTAACCTCTTAACTGGTTGTCATGGGGATATGGCGTTGCTTAGTAACATTACAGTCGCTCAATATTTGAAATAGTTGTACATGTAAAATTAAACTAAATTAAGTATAAGTAAAAGGGGCCTTGTATTTCAGTGATTCCAACTGAGGTTTAATTGAAAATTCCGATAAATATGTGAATAAGAAGTAGAACGTAAGGCCTACATCTACAAACATTAATTGCAAATTGAAGCTTGAAATTTCTAATTTAATTCTCTTTAATTTGAGCTGTTCAAGAGCTTTGTATGATGATTTGTCGATGAGTTATCGTCATTCAAATATCATAGGTTATCTCTACTAGGTTTTATTGAGATCGGTTAATAGAGAGAACAATTTCAACACCCTGTATCTCTAAAACGGGCGGTTCCAGACCTATGTTTATAAGGCAACCATATATTATTTTAATCTCTATCTGCCTTCGAAGTTTCCTGTATAAAATTCAGACAATCCTGTATAGCAGGATTTGTCCCCAAAAAAGTTTTCCAAAAAATCAAAGTTTGCTCTCAATGTAGAAAAGACTTACTTTCCAAGGATAGATCAGATCCTGAATATTTTTTTATTGAAGTAAAGGCTTACTCCTCAAATGCTCTTTCAGCTCCGTCAAACAATTTTAATATATTTTTTCAAAAATATATTACTGTTTTGACTAACGTATTGCCACAAATATGGCATTACTCAAACATAACAAAAGTTTTGAAATTTGTGTTAAAAAATCTTTGCAATGATGAAATATTTACATGCAAAAATCATAATATTAAAGATTTTATTTTTGATTACACAAGTTTTCATTCATTGATGTGGATTAAAAATATTAATGATATTTTGAAAGGTAAGCAGATTGTCGGGAATTTTTCTGATCTAATTAAAATTTATTTAGGAGGAAATTTGAAGTCTATCAAAAATATGCTAAAAAATACAAGCTGTTAAATGTTAAAAAAGGCGAATCATTGATTTTTTAATAAACAAAAAATATATTCTCAGCTTTTTAAAAGTATGTATTTATGAGTATTTGTGTTAAAGTAAAAATGGTATTTCTATATGGTCTCTGTACAAGTGGAGCAATAACTCAACTGCAAAATAATGTTTACTATTAGGATTAGGATCATTTGGGTTTATTAGCAATTACCTTATTTTTATTTGTTTATTTAAATTTTTGTACCTGTACATTTTATAACATAATTTAAAATAAACTTGCTATTCTAATAATGTGTTTTATTATTACCAAGTTAAATCACTTATTTGAGATCATTTTGACTATCTAAAAATATTTATTCAATTTTCGCTAATAAATGATTTAAATTGTTCAATGTAATAGTAATAATATATTTTAAAGCTAGGATTTAAAATTCAAGGGCGTTGTGACTAATTTTGGTTCCAACCGCTAGGGGCGCTAGGTGTTTGCCGATCCAACCACTCTTTTGGACTTGTGCACTAAATGCGCACACAGAGAATATGTCTAAACTCTACTACACATACCTCTACTCATATATGTAATATATATATGCCTCTACTATAATATCGGATAATAAAGGATGGAAACGTATGTGTAATCTGTGTTCAAGATTGCTAAACTAGAGTTTACCAGTCCTGTTCTCCCGACCCGACTGTAGAAGCAGAAGAACAAATTCTCTCCACCCGACCTCTTCCTCTAATTTTAAATTGAGGTTATAAAAAATACATTTTAAAGAAAATTGTGGCAATGAGTGGTGTTCAAGAACCTTTGTGCAGGCTTTGTCTCAAAACTATAGCTGATAACAGTTATGAAATAATAGAGAACGCTACCAGAGACATTCTACATGTTCTTTTATTGAAATTAGTGAGTCTGTGCAATATATTAGATTCTACTACCTCAATACGTGAAGCGACAGCGATAATCTATTTTCATTTATTCGTTACTTTCAGTCATAGTTATTCTTGTTTAATTAAAGCTGCATACATTTTAGAAATGTGACGGCGAGAGCAAAGAGGTTATTTGTAACGCTTGCAGAAAGAAGTTAAATGCAGCATTAGAATTTAAATCAGCATGTCTGAATACCGATAACACAATTAAACCATATGTGGATTGTGAAAAAATGTTAGAGCTCGATTTGAGAGAAATGTATATGAGGGAAAACGGAAACAAGATAATGGATATTTCAGACAGTCAGAAAATATGTCGATTGTGTATGCCCCCAGTAGAAAGTGAGTTTAGGTGCATACGTGAACAGGAACTTGAAGCTGTTGAGAAATTGGCTCCTGAAATGGTAGGAATGATATATGAAATACTTGCCTTTTTCACAATTTAAAAAATTATACTTTGCAGATTATAAATATCATCAAAGATCCCGTTGTTTGTAGGCCATGCTTCGAGTCTCTGTGTACTCACAACAATTTTCTGGGAGATTGCTTAAAGATAGAAGAAAAAATTTGTTCAGCAATGGAAAGTCCAGCAGATACAGCACAATCTGACATATTCATTAAAACTGAATACTTGGACAAAGAACTCGATATTAATGAGGCAGAATTGTCGATCAAAGATGAATGTGTTGATATAAAGTCAGAAGTTGAAGAAAAGAGGTACGAAAAGACTTTTTTAAAGTTAATCTTATAGGATTAACCCATACTATTAGCTTGTGTTGCCAAATTAAGACTTATCCCAGCGGAAGCGTCAATTACTACTCCAGTTTATAAACTTCTTTCAAAATTCTCCTCAACCCGGTAGTCACAATAGTGTTTCTTTCGCCACACAAAAATTCACAGTGATAAGAGACGAACGAACTTATATTTGCATACATTTTTTCCCATTCTATAGGCAACCCAAATTGCTAACTTTAAGCTGAAATAAAGTAAAAGTAAAGTAATAATTTCACTTAAACACTAAATAGTGTACACTGTACAATATTTGTTCAGATAGAACTACTAAAATATATATATGTATATACAGAAGAAATTTATTTTAGTTCCGGAAAGTGAGGTTAGGTCCCTCGAATAGCTTCAAATTGCAGTTAGAATTGTTAGTTCAAATCTTTCTGTATAATGGCGTGGCGATACTAAAAAATTTGGGGATATACTGGGAAAACTATATTACAAAAATTACTCAAAATTTAACGATCTTTCGGATGAACCGCATTTCAATAAAAAAAAAAAATTTAGCATCGCACACCATCTACACACAAAGATTTGTACTAACTATTCTAAATGCAGTTTGAAGGTGTGCCAGGGACTTAACAGCCCCAGTTTCTTCATTTCGGAGATATTGGCAGCGGGAGTGTTAAATGACACACCATGCATATAAGATAGATTTTTTGGATTAAAATGTATTTTTATTGCTTTTACAGTACAATAGAATATAAACCATAAATAAACTAGGAGATAATAGATATGTGCAGAGTTACTAAATTCAAGCAGAAACAAAATAACAATAAAGTGGTAGTTTCACTTAAATACTAAATCGTGTATCAACTGTTAACTTTATCAGGTCCGCACTGCTGAATTATCCTTAATTTCATTACTGTAGAGATGGGGAAAAATAACTTAAGACAATTTATACTGCAGTATGCTGGCAGCAAATCGAGACTTGGTTTTGTAACTAAAGCTTTGATCTTGACGAAATTGTAAATAGTGTCAAGCTTTTTCAGAATCCTGTTTAACGATAAACTATAACCAACACGATAAAATTGTTTGGTACCTTTTGCCAATATTGATAATTTCTTCAACTTGTAAAATATGATTTCAACAAGCTCATTTGGTATGTATTCCATGGTCCTCTTGTAGTTTTTCCTTATCATGAACTCGATGAATGAGGTATTCAAATATGGAATGTATCCTAATAGAACAGCGCTCCGCATAATGTCGAGATGCTTGTATAGTATTTGGATGACATTCCCTTCTACATATTTATAATTATGCTTACAAGTTCGAGATTATTATGACTGTGTGCCATTTTGGCAAAAGTGTTTATTAATGCTCACTAAATAATCAAAAGTTTGTTAAAGCACTAACATTATCGTCTGCAACAAGCTTACACTACCGCCTAATTAACACAAACCCACCAAGAGCTCAAAGCGAAACTTTTATCAAACGCTATTATAAAATATCAAAGAATGACTATATTAGAAGTGGCAGCAAACGCTGATTTATTTCGGCGCAGTAATATGATTAATTTCAGAACGGGCATCAATCTCATTAAATTCAAATGCAAATGTGTCTGCTCTTATAAAACTTTTATTAGAGTAACTTTTTGTAAAATGCAATATTGAACTTTAATCCTGATTTTCAACAATACAGTGTATATACAATTTTTCAGCGACACGTCTCCGCAGAGCTCCGATAATGAACCATTCGAGAAGGCCCAGATGTATAGATGTAACGATTGTGATTACAAAACTAAACACAAGAATGCTATCAAACAGCACCAATTGAAGCATAGTGATCCTTCACAGGTTAAAATGCATAGGTGTAGGGATTGCAGTTACGAAACTAAATACAAGAGCGATGTGAAAAAGCATGAATTGACACGTAAAGGTCCTTCGCAGGTTCAAATGTACAGGTGTAATGACTGCAGTTACGAAACTAAATACAAGGGCGATGTGAAAAAGCATGAATTGACACATAAAGATCCTTCACAGGTTGAAATGTACAGGTGTAACGTTTGCGACTACGAAAGTAGACACAAGTTTGTTATCAAAAGGCATCAGCTGAAACATAAAGATCCTTCCCAGATTCAGATGTACAGATGTAATAAATGCAATTACGAAGCTAAATACAGGGGTTATATTAAAAGACATCAACTGAAACATAAAGATCCCTCGAAGGTTCAAATTTACAAATGTAACGACTGCAATTATGAAACAGTATACATGAGAGATATCAATAGGCATCAACTGACACATAAAGATCCTTCGCAGGTTCAAATGTACAGGTGTAATAACTGTGACTACGAAACTAAATACAAGAGGAATGTCATACAGCACCAATTGAAACATAAAGATCCTTCGCAGGTTCAAATGTACAGATGTAGCGACTGCAATTATGAAACAGTATACAAGAGATGTATCAATCGACACCAACTGAAACATAAAGATCCTTCACGGGTTCAAATGTAGTGATGTAGCGACTGCAATTATAAAACAGTATACATGAGAGATATCAAACGGCACCAAGTGAAGCATAAATCGTTCTACACGGTGCGTGAGTTTTTTGAGTGTAGTTCTCTTTGATTGTTGTTTGTTATCTTGCATTGAGCAAATTGACTTTATAGTCAATGAGTGTGTCATTGTTATTTATTTGTTATATATTTGTATAAATTCTTATTGTGAATTTTATTGTATTTACTTGACGTTTTCCATGCANTTCACAGGTTCAAATGTACAGGTGTAACAACTGTGATTACGAAACTAAATACAAGAGGAATATCATACAACACCGATTGAAACATAAAGATCCTTCACAGATTCAAATGTACAGGTGTAACAACTGTGATTACGAAACTAAATGCAAGAAGAGTATCAAAGAGCACCTACAGAAACAAAGATCCTTTGCAGGTTCAAATTTACGGATGTAATGGCTGCGATTATAAAACTAAATACAAGAGGAATATCAAATGGCACCAAGTGAAGCATAAAGATTCCTCTGGAGGTCTAAATGTATAGGTGTAATGACGCAATTATGAACCCAACTATAGGAGCTCTATCATGTGTTGAAGCACAAACAGCCTTCTCAAGTGCAAATATACCGGTGTGATCTCTGTGATTTGTAAACTAAGCATAACGCACAAAAAAAGGTTAGCAGCTGTGGATTACCTTCCATCAAAGTGCAGAATATAGTCAAATGTAGTGTCATTTAAGACTAATAGTTGTGAATGACACCGAAGGTAAAATAGTGAACGTAACACCTGCCTTTAAAAACTTCGGTTGAAACACGAAGTTGCGACACCAAAACCTCACCGATAGAATGCTGACAAGTGGTTTGTAGAAATCGCCATAACCTAGTGATGAAAAGTCCCTACTTTTCCCGTTTCTTAAAATGTGACAGTCTGCTGATTAATAAACGGTTTACAATTTCGATGAGTTATGTTATATGTGCACATATACAGGGTACAACTATAACTGGGGTCAATTTTCTTTTCTGGTTCAAATTCTTTTTAGTCAAATAAAAAGTTGATTTATTAGTTTTTTAAATGCACTTTAATTGTTTAATTAATTGGTTTTCGGTGTTATGATGCTAAAATTTGGGTTAAAATTTATACATAATTTAATTTTAAGTCGCTCTTAGAACCAGTTTATTATTTTTTAAACTAGAATCTGTAACAGTATATTTGAATTAAATTTAACCTGGTATGTGAAATATAAAGATTGAAGTTATATTCTTAACATTTTTTTTTGATGTCACATAATAGCGTACTTACTGAATTAAATAAAGTACGAACGGCAGCTCTTGTAGTGAAGGCAAAGGGGACGTGTTCAAGTTTGAGAAAACATTGCAGGCAATAATAATATGTTGTTGGTTTGGGCGCTAACATATAAATTATTTGAATACTAACACCCCTGTAACAGTTTTCTCACCTTGTACCTAGATAAGTAGTGGAGAATTAAATAGACAGATAAAATCTAGATGTACAGGGTGTCCTGGTAGTTGATACAAAAATTCATAATTTGACAAACTAGAAAAAAATACAAGAATAGGTTAAATGTAAAAAAAAAATTTAAAAGAAAGAAAACTATCAAAATACATCTTCAATATGGGCAGTTTGCCATTCTAGGGCCGAGTTGTAAAGAAGTTGATTGAATAAATATTTTTCTCAGACTATCAATAACATAGCCACCGCCCACCACACACAAAAAAGGTTGTCTGTAGTTTTCATGCGACATATGTTACCTGTAGTATTTTTGCCTCCTGGTCACGAATCCGGTGTCAGAATTGAGCTGCCACATCACAGGAATTTCCTAGCCTCAAAAAAACAGGTGAAAAATTGCAAAAATTCACGAAAAAGTACTAGGAAAAATACAATTTTTTTTTTCTATATTCAAATATTCATTTATGTGGTGGACCCCGCCTAATATGAACCCGCGGTCAGAATTGATGGTTCTTTTTCTAACTTCAAAAAAACGGGTCAATCGGATGTCACGAATTTTGAGGAAATAACATTCGCGCCAAATTTGGTATACGGGGTTTTGAAAATTTGTAATATCTGACCTTAATTGACACGTAACCACATAAATGAATATTTAAATATAGAAAAATATATATATATAGTTTTCCTAGTATTTTTTCGTGAATTTTTGCTATTTTTGACCTGTTTTTTCGCAGTTCCTAGCGGGCAGCCGACCAGAGCACACGTGTTTTGTGAAAGTGTAGTGCAAGGAGCAAATTCTACCTGCCTTTATTAAGGCTACCTGGAAAGAATCCCTTTCTTTCCTTTTAATCACCGACCTAATCCCCGGCTTAAGCATAGACGCCGTCGGCATCTTTGTTACAGCACCTGTGCCGGGGTTATGCCNGACATGAAATGATTCATAATTGCAATTGTCAAAATTTATTCTACAAAATCTTTGTGGCGACATCTATAGACTCTTTCCCCAACTTGTATATCCATCTCAAGTCACGTGGTTCCCAGAGTTTCCCCATATTTTCAAGTATAAGTTCTCGGGCCCTGATTCTAGGGCCGAGTTGTAAAGAAGTTGATTGAATAAATATTTTTCTCAGACTATCAATAACATAGCCACCGCCCACCACACACAAAAAAGGTTGTCTGTAGTTTTCATGCGACATATGTTATCTGTAGTATTTTTGCCTCCTGGTCACGAATCCTTTGTCAGAATTGAGCTGCCACATCACAGAAATTTCCTAGCCTCAAAAAAACAGGTGAATAATTGCAAAAATTCACGAAAAAGTACTAGGAAAAATACAATTTTTTTTTCTATATTCAAATATTCATTTATGTGGTTAGGACCCCGCCTAATATGAACCCGCAGTCAGAATTGATGGTTCTTTTTCTAACTTCAAAAAAACGGGTCAATCGGATGTCACGAATTTTGAGGAAATAACATTCGCGCCAAATTTGCTATACGGGGTTTTGAAAATTAGTAATATCTGACCTTAATTGACACGTAACCACATAAATGAATATTTGAATATAGAAAAATATATATATTTTTCCTAGTATTTTTTCGTGAATTTTTGCTATTTTTGACCTGTTTTTTAAGGTTAGGAAATTCCTGTGATGTGTTGGCTCAATTCTGACACCTGATTCGAGATCGGGAGGCAAAAATACTACGCGCGCGCCGCCATTATTCCATGGCTAGAAATTGGCCTCAATGATTTGGGATCGAGGGGGATTATCCCTCTTTATCTTGCCTCATCTCGTGTAGGCCTGGACAGCCTTCGTAGGTGGGGCCCATCCGTCGTCTACCCCGACCGCAAATGCGGCCGGTGTAGGCGCTTTGTGGGACCTCCTTTTGTCCTGGCTGGGCCCCGCCGGCTAGGGCCCTTTCTTCTGGCGCTCTTCTTGCTTCGCCGGCTCGTCTGTGTAAACCCCGGGGGTAGTGTCATGTTTATGTGTGGTATGGTTGGGTAGGGTAGTGCGGCTATGCAGCCTGGGATGCGCTTTGCTAAGGTGGCCCTTAGGCTAGCGCGGGTGGGGAGTGGTAAGGAGGGTATGGGGGGTGTGTGTGTGTCGTTGTCTTCGTTTCTTGATCCTGGCTGTCTCTGAAACAGAAAAGGTTAGCGGGCAGGGGTGGATTTCGTTGGGGTGGTCACCCAGGGTCAAAAAGTTGGTGTCTAGGTCTTTTGTGTTTGTCGGTCACGTCGGGTACGTAGTCAACGGCTTGCCTGAGGAGGGGATTGTCATGTCTAGCGGCTACGTCAAACCGTTTCTCCGCGTTTTGTCTTATTGTCTGTGTAGCGTTTGTGTATTGTAAGTCTCGTAATATGTCAGTGTTTCTTACGTACCAGGGCGCGTCGGTGGCCGTGCGGAGGGCTATGTTTTCCACAGCCTGTAATGACTTTAAGTGGCTTTTTGCCGCGTGACCCCACGCCGTGGAGGCGTAGGTTAGCTGCGGTTGAAGTACCACCTTGATAAGCGTTCGCTTATTCCTTAAACTGAGGGTATTTTCACCTTTGAGTAAGGGATAGGACAAACACATATGTGTGAATTTATACAGAAAACTAAAAATTAGAACAGGTTTAAATATATATTTTATATAGAATTACATGTAGATTTTTATATTGCGTGTTACGGCTATATTACTGAAGTTAAAATTTGTCCCTAATAAAGCTGTTAATTGGTTTATTTTTTAGGTTGTCCCTATCGAATGAATGTTATGAATGAAAAAAGACAACCATATTGCTCAAATAGAAATTTATTGATTATGAAATAAAAATATTATCCTGCATTACAAAAATGGTCAGAGCATACATAGGTCACGGTGTATTCTCTTAAATGGAAAAAGTCTCGACGTAATGTTAGACAGAGAAAAAATATAAACTAGTTTGCGAACAAAACATCAGAGGCGCTAAAGTTAATATTACACTCAGTACGCAAACGCAAAGATTTTGTTGAGAAGACGCTTCGAGGTCATTCGAGGTTCGAACGGACATCTTTGTTGTTTTGTTTTCGTGTTGGTGGCACGTGTATCTTGTGGTTGGGTTTTTGTGTTTATATATTTTATAGATTTTATGCGTTTATTCATATTGTTCCTTATTATTGACTTTCATAGACTTTTTTATATTATTTTAGTGTTAAGTTTAGTGTTTAGTGAACTTGTAGGAGGTATATTTAAGGTAAACACAATTACATTTTAATCTTAAATCTAAATAGAAGTAAAATTTTATGGATAAATTTGTTTCACTTTTGCCATGAAATGATTGTGAAGTTTCAGTATTTTAATAAAATATTTTGGTCAATCTATAGTCAATAATTTTTTTAGTGTCGACTAAACATTAGTTAATTGTAGCGATAACAATATTAATATTCATCTAATGTAAAGTAATTTAATTTTTTAGATGGTACGTTATCGAAACTGTGCTGTTGTCGGTTGTGAGGATATTACATCTCCAAGGCATCGCTTTCCAAATCCGGCTAAGAAACTGGAGTTATTTAAAATTTGGACAGAAGCCTGTTGCAGAGACATTCTTAAAACCTTGAGTCCTGATCTTGTCTATCGGTCATACAGAATTTGTCATATTCATTTTGCAACCGAGGATATATCCACAAACAATTTTCTAAAGCCAGATGTTATACCGAAGCTATTCTTACCACCAAACAGAAGAAACACTGATATGCCTGAAGGTACTTATGTGTTATTGTTTTATAAGCATTGTGCATGGACTAATTTAATTTTAATCTAGTTTCATAGAAATTATTTAATAAGTTTTTTTAGATACCGTCAGCACCAGTACACCTACACAGTCACTGCAGAGTATTGAAAAGCCGTCCACTTTATCTCTGGTTGATGAATTAAATTTGAATCCAGAAAGTACTCAAATATTATGTGTAACTCCTACCAGAAGACAATGTGAGTATTTTACAAATTAAAATTCATAATACGCTGATAATAAAAAGTTAATTAAAGTTTCTGACAAATAAATTCTACAATACCAAACTTATATTGATTGCATTTTGTTAACATGATTAATGAGCAGATGTTTATTACAAGTGAAGTGACTGGTGAACATGTGTTTTTACAAACATCTATAAAAAAGCGTAGACTTAATTATGACGAACCGTCAACATCTGCAGTACAAGATTATGAGTTGCCAAACGTTGAGGAAAGTAGATGTAGGACTCCTCGTAACAGTAAACGTAAGTTTATAACAATGCTAAACCAATAGCTATTTATATAATAAGTTACGAAATGAGTGTCCTTTAGGCACGAGACGTGAAAATTATCAACAATTGACAACAAGTGAAGTTTCGTAACTTATTACATATAAGATTTTTCTGCTACTGTTTTATATTAAGAAAAATTGTATGTAATATAAACTGGTGACGTTTGTCATCTGCTTTTGTCTGCTGGTTGCACCTTTACTAGTGCAAAGTCATGTAAACAAAAAATCATTGTTTTCAGTACATAACTACGTAACGAAACAATAATTTTAAATTAATATAATTAAAGAGTCATTTTTACACACTTGTGCTTAAAAGTACGTCATTAAAAAATTGAAAAGACAATCGAAATGTCGCCATTATAAAACATCAGTAGAAAAATGTAATTTTAGTTATTAGTAACTAAAGTTAATAGTAAAGTAAGTTTTTTTATATTGAAGTTACTTTTTTTAGTTTTGATTTGTGAGAATTGCTTTATCGAACATTTCAGTTATCGCATTCTTTGTCAGATCTAATCACAAATTTTACAAATTATTAGGAGTACCTATGTAGTATGTATTACCAATGACAGTAATTTAGTTCAGTATCATTTTTTTTCTTAACAAACTGCCAGGGTATTAATTGGATTAAATACTACTGGTGGTACTTAATAATGTAATTCTGAAATTAAATTTGATATGATTTATTTTTTCTTGTTACAGAAACTTTGTTAAGGAAAATTGGCGTGTCCAGGGAGAAATATTTGTCACCCAAGTGTAAAACTTTATATAGAATGGCTCGCAGATATACAAAATCTTTGCAATATTTGCAGAAACGAGGAAAAACTCTGAAAAGACAACTGAATCTAACCAAGGAGGAAATGCTTGATAGAATTATTTTAGACTTGAACCCAACGGTTGCAAAATTTGTGAAAAGTCAAGTACGTTTAGCCAATAAAGAACCAAAGGCAAGACGTTATACCCTGGATGACAAAATTTTGGGTCTAGTTTTAAACAAGCAAAGTGCCAAGAGCTACAAAGTATTTTCAAAAATATTTGCGGTACCATCAAAAAAAACCATGAATTTATTGTTAAGTAAAGTACCAATTAATACTGGAATTAATCCCAACATATTTTTGAATATTAAACAAACCATACAAACTCTAGATGCCAAAGATCAACTGAGCATTTTAATATTTGATGAAATGGCCATTGAACCACATATAGATGTCAATAAAAGTTATAGCGATTTTGATGGCTTTGAAGATGATGGAAAAAGTAAAACTAATATAATTGCTGACCATGTCCTAGTTTTTATGCTACGAGGCTTGACAAAAATGTGGAAACAAGCGATTGCATTTTCGTTTTGCAGAAGTTCGACGAAAACGATCGATTTGGTCAGAAATATAAAGGAAATTATACGCGAATGCCAAAATATTTCATTAAAAGTCATTGCAACTGTCAGTGATCAAGGCTCGACCAATCAGGCAGCTGTAAATTATTTACAGAGAGAAAACCGCTGAGAAGAAATTCACCATCCCGACTTAAAATATTTTTTTATTAACGGTGAAAAAATAATTCATATATATGACCCACCACACCTCATAAAAGGAATCCGAAATAATCTGCTAACTAAGAATTTAATATGGACAAAAGAAGAACAAGATTTATCTTGTAAATGGTCTGATATTACAACAGCATATGAAATGGACAATTCGTCAGGCGAATTTAGAACAATGCCAAAAATAAACGATTACCATATTGTGCCAACAAAAATTAAAAAAATGAAAGTGTCTATGGCAACTCAGGTATTTAGCCACAGCGTAGCATCCGTTATTTCCCTCTTTGCGAAATCAGGTAAATTAATTATTTGTCTTTCAAGGGAAATTTATTTTCATTTATTAATATTTTAGGTATCGAATTAAATGGTAAACGTTTGCCTCCATCAGCCGAAGGTACAGCGAAAATTCTTTTATTTTTTGATTGTCTCTTTGACAGTGTAAATGGAAACAGTTTATATCCAAGAAGTGGAAAAAATTTGAAGTGTGCGATCACAAAAAATTCAGGACATATAGAATTTTGGAAATATTGCAGACAAGAAATAAATAAAATGTACTATTGTCAACAAGAAGGAACAACTAAGAAGTTTATTCCACCTTCCCTTAATAATTGGAAAACTACCCTTGCTGGAATGGAAGAAATTTTTAAAATAATTCAAAAACACAATTGTTCTTTTTTTTTACCAAGACGACTAAATCAAGACCCATTGGAAAATTTTTTCGGGCAGATTAGACAACATGGCGGGCCAAACTCTAATCCCACAGCAAGTCATTTTAAAAATTATTTTAAAACTTTATTTATTAATAATATTGTAAGTAGACACTCTATATCTGCCAATTGCGAATTAGACTCCGATCATGCAATCATTTCTGTAAAAAAATTTATTTCACAAGGTTTACCGGATCTACCTGTTGTAGAAGAAACAGGTGATCTTAATACCTTTGAGGTACCTAAAACAAATCCAGCTTATTTGAATTTAATATCGGTAGGGTATATTTCAGGATTTATTTCAAAAAAATTAAAATCTCTAAAAGACTGTGAGACATGTAAAAAAAATATTATATTGGACAAATCCATTCATAAGTGGCATGACTTAGTTTTAGCTAAAGAATATTTAAAAGATTGCCCGAATAAATTAAAATATTGCACTCCAGCATTTATTGACAGTATTTTACAATGTTATACCATAACAATGAGTTTCCTTTGTAAAATATGTAATTTAAATAATTGTTTAAAATTATTACAAAACTATTTATATAAAAATGTAAATTTTAACTTTACCAATTGTGAGCACAGTGAAATTATGATAAAAAATATAATTGATTATTTTGTATTTTTCTGTGCTCACAATTGGGCAAATGGCATTAACAGTCAGCTATCTGGCAAAGATAATAGGAGAATAGTCGAAGATAGCATTTTTTTGCAGGCAAGGCAATACTATTGTAAAAGAAGGAAAAATAAATGAAACATTAGCAATAATTATGGTTTTATTGGCCCCCTAGTTTTTTTGGTAGTTCCAAAAAAAATTGTAAATTGATTTTAACAGTTGACAAATAAAATTGGTAAATAATTAATTATTTTTAACGTGATGGAGGCCAATTGACAATATTAAATTTGATCAAAATATCTACATACACACCGTCACAAGTCTTGGACCCCGTATACTACAGATTTGGACTATTTATTTTGTTTTCCTTACTAGGCAACAAAGTTGAGTTATTTAGCTGTCAAACAAGATCAATAAGTTCCAAGATAAAATATTGCTGATTGGTTATATATATTTTTTTAATATTGGTCCGTTTTATTGCATATTTAGCAAAGCGACTTTGATACTTTTCTTTCATTATAATGCCAGGACGTGAGATATCTGCCTTTAATAGTGCAAAAATTATTGCTTTGCATGATGCTGGACATTCTAAACATCAGATATCCGAGATGTTAGACATTCCTAGATCTTCTGTTCGAATAGTGTATAGGTATCAAGAATTAGGGACAGTGAAAAAAGACCACGGGCGGCCTCTAGTGTCAAATGAACGGCAGGATCGTTATTTGGTTCAATATGCTCGTAGACACCAAAGTGCTTCAGCTCCAACCTTCAGAAATCACTTTTAAGGTACGTTTCGTTTTGTTATATCGACCTCTACAATTCGAAGAGGACTCCATCGTGGAAATTTACGTGCAAGAAGGCCTTTAAGGGTACCCACTCTACTACCACGACATCGAGCTGCCCGCTATCAGTGGGCACGGTTGCGTAGTGATTGGCTTTTGCAGCAGTGGCGATGGCTCTTATTCACAGATGAAACCAGAATTGGACTAGTGAGTGATGACAGTAGGCAAAGGATCTGGAGAGATCTAGGTCGTCAAGAGAGATTAAGTTTTTCCCGTGAGGTTGCTCCCTACAATGGTGGGACAGTAATGTTTTGGGGAGGAATCATGTTTAATTGCTGTACGCCGTTAATTCCCATAAATCAGAATATGACAAGTCAAGTTGATATTGAAACTGTTATGAGACCCATTATTTATCCCCTACACGCGGAATTAGGTGACAATTTCATCTTCATGGACGACAATGCAAGGTCACATCGTGCAAGAAAGGTCCAAGAGGTACTTGAAGAGGGAGATATTACACGATTAGATTGGCCAGCTAACACCCCAGATATGAATCCGATTGAAAACATGTGGGATTTTGTTTCTAGAGCAATTCGCAAACGCATGAACCCACCCCATGCGGAAGAGTTGACTGCAGCAGCAATAGAGGAATGGAATAATGTTCCTCAAGAAATTATCAACCGTTTGATCGTGTCAATGCACAGGCATGTTAACATGTTACTGACTATTAAGTTGTAGTTTACTTTGTTAAAACAAATGTTTTGTTAATTTGTGTCATAATAAATTTACTTAAAAATTGCAAATTTTTTTTTTTCCCACGGTTTTTTAATTGTCTAGATCAACGGTCTGCAACTGGCGGACCGCGATCCAGATCCGAACCGCGGAAGGTAAAAAACTGGACCGCCAAAAATTTTTTGTAAGTAAAAAAGTAAAAATATTTTTGTATAGATAACAATACGTTTCAGTGTCACCGTTATCATTTTTGAGTGGTTAGTAAGTTAGTATAAAAAACGATTCGAGACCGCAAATATTATTTCTCAAATTGATTTTTTAATACAAATATGCCTATCGTATTTCATATTATTTTATTAGTGCAAATTAAAATAAAAATTTGTTAAGTTATGAGTTTTTTTTCTGGACCTCGTTAAAAATTTTCAAAAGTATGCGGACTCCACCTAAAATTACTTGTCGACCCCTGGTCTAGATCTTTAAAAATTATTGATATATTGCAAAAAATACATTTAGAAAAGACATACTTTGAAAAACAAATACGATATTTAAAAACAATTATTTACTAATACAAAACATCGAGGGTCCAAGACTTTTGACGGTGTGTGTATAAATAATTTGTATTTGTACTGGATGGAAATTTTGATACAAATTTATTATCCTGTCAAATTGTCAAAATCACGTTAAAAATAATTAATTATACGACAATTTAATTAAGAGAAATAAAACAGTGTCCTACTTTATCTATTTTAGTTTGCGAACAAGACAATAGATGGCAACAACCGCGTCTATTTATTTTTCATTACAGAGTACTATCTTATTGTTTCTGTGATCTGTGGTCACTACTTCGTTTTTTTAGAGGTTTGGATAGGTATAAGTTGTAAATAAAAAAATTTGATAATGGATTAACTTTGTAAAAAATACAAAGTAATATTTAAAATTGATAATAAAAAAATAGTAATCGAGGATCCAAATAACTTTAATCGTAGATATGCATATTCTATATTGCACTGTATAGATCTTTATTAACTTCCTTTTAGACGATACATTTACGTGGGAATAGATATTTGTGAAAAGGTAAACCCATTTTGATTTAATAACCATCCATACATTAACGTTATTTCAGGGATGTGCATTTCAGATTAGGAATAACAATTGTAGTATATAAGAAATAATCAAACAACTTGAGCTACGAGCACTATCATAGATTATAGGTTACGATTTTATTATTGATTAGATATCCAAACTAAAAGAATTTTTGCGAGTTCTGTCAAATGTTAACTCAAACTCTTAACACAATCAAACTCGAGCTAACCGGGTTTGATGTGGTTTGGCTCGCCAAAAAACCCTTATTGTGCTTAGTAAATTTCTTCTCTAAAATGGTAACACTGTTAGTTGTCAAAATTATTTAATATTCCGTCAAACGTAGCCGAATTTTGTTTTGCATAGCCGCTTTATATATTTTTTAAAATTTAATAAACAACTGAAGAACGTAACAATGGATAATTTAGAAGCAAATATCATGGACAAGTCCATGAGATCTGTCTTTGGTAAGGTTTTTATATGTTGATCACATTTTTTACACAAATTCCGTCTATATTTTCAGTTGGAAATATCCCGTATGAAGCCACTGAAGAAAAGCTCAAGGATATATTTGGCGAAGTGGGCCAGGTCTTGTCTTTCAAGTAAGAATAAATTTGAATAATTCGACCACTTTGTTTATATTCTCATCTGCAGGCTTGTGTTTGATCGTGAAACTGGCAAACCGAAGGGATACGGCTTCTGTGAGTATCGTGATCAAGAAACCGCCTTGAGTGCAATGAGAAACTTGAACGGCTATGAGATTGGAGGCCGCAACTTAAGAGTGGACAATGCTTGTACGGAGAAGTCTAGGATGGAAATGCAAAATCTCTTAAATCAGCCACCTGTGGAAAATCCTTATGGCGAGCCAATTCAAGCCGAGAAGGCTCCCGAGGCTATCAGTAAAGCTGTCGCTTCGCTGCCACCAGAACAGATGTTCGAGCTTATGAAGCAAATGAAAACAACAATTCAGGTTTGCAAGAATTAAAAAAGTTTATGTTTCATAAAATTAATCTATTTTCAGAATAATCCGACGGAAGCTAGGCAAATGCTACTGCAAAATCCACAGTTAGCTTATGCCCTTTTACAGGCACAGGTTGTTATGAAAATTATTGATCCCCATACTGCCGCGGTACTTATTATTTTATATTATGAAATTGTGTGTTTTGCTATTTCCTGGTTGTTTTAGACTTTGTTACATCCCATCAATCAAGTACCAGCGACGTTGATGCCAGGCGACAAGAATGTTCCGGTTCAGGTGCCAATTAACAGTCAATTTACTCAGCCTCCGGCTCCAGTTCAGCCACCGAGGCAAGAATTCCAGCCAGTGCCAGCACCCGTTATGCATCCCAACCCTCAGGCTCCAGTATTCACAGGTAAAAATTTGAAAAAATTGTTTAGCGACAGTTATTAAATTTATTTATAATTATTCTGATAGATACAAGCAATATTTAATAAGTTATTTGTCAGTACTATACAGGATATAAATTTATGTGTTCTATTTTTTTTTTTATCGAGTGATCAACATATAATAATTAGTTTTTTAAAGTCTCTTGTCTACGCCGTCACTGGGCAGTACTCGGATGTATATGAACGCTTATCAGTGTTGCCTGTTGCAACCTTTTTAAACCATCTGTACGAACTGGCTTGCTGATAGCTTTTCTATAACTTTTTAACTCGTTATTTTAATCAACATATTTTTTTATGTCAATGTGGATGAAGCGTCAAATATTAAAATCATTTCCAATGTGTTTAAAAAATTTATTTTTTTGATATGATTTATTAATATTGGTATGTGGAGTGACATATATGTTATTAATTGTAAATAAAATTAACTTAAAACTTTTAAAATAATGACACTGGCACATTGAAAAAAGTGGGCTGTACCCAATAAGCTTTATGTGTTTTGACGTACTGAGTCCAAATCTAAAGTCTTTTAAGCTGCATCCTCTACAGATTTTGTAAAAAAATGCAAAAATTAACGAGAGAGAACATTTAGATGTTCTTCTCATAAATTTTGTTAAGTCTGAAGACCCTGGATGAAACTCTGTTCTCATTAGCCACTGAACGTAGTGATTTTTCCTATCCCTGCTATCCCATAAACACCGTCTGCAAATTCTCGTAAGTCTCTTTGAGCGTTTTTTGCAAAATTTGGGGAGAGATACAGTTACGCTTGATTAGGTCAAAAATTTGAAATTTTTTGCGCTCATCAACATGATGACCCCTATTCAAAGTAACACCCTGTACGTTTTTTTTATTTTTCTCTGGTTTTTTTGGCGAATTTATAAAGCAGGACAAGACGTGGATCTGCGTTCTCTGGGCGCAGCACCAGATCCAAGAATTGCCAGGATGGGAGATCAAGACATGCGGCAGATTCCGGGACCATTGCAAAATCCACTGCCGCCCCCAGTCGGTGAGACGTAAGTATATTCGAATTTTTCAGGCATTCTTTAACTCTTTGAATTTGTTAGCATTACCAAACAGTTGGACATAAAAATGGATAGGTATGTCTCTGGTTGTTTTGTGTTCATTTTAATTGTTTAGTTTCTTTGAGTTTTTTTTGTTTTATATTTAGAAACCATACATTTTTTTTTACTATGTACCTAACAGACCATTAACTGTACAATAGACTGTAATAAATCTTTTGCTAAACATTCTAGGGAAAAAAATATTTAAAAATGCTCATTTTTCTATGGTTTAAAAAAACTAAATCTACAGCTGAAATATCTCAAATTCAGTAATGGACTTGTCTTAAAAATGTTGATTGTTGTGTTTATTTTCTCTGAAAATGTAAAAGAACCATGTACAAGGTGTAATTAAATTACTTGGCCAAACAAATCATCAAACAAGCTCCTAGCAACATATCCAGTAACGCTTCATTTACGAGATAGATGGTGTTAGTTTGAAAAAAATTAAATTTTTTTAAATTGCAAATATGCAGTTTTAAGTTTTTCTGTCATGTTAGTATGCATTGTTTTTTAGATAAATAATAAAAAGTCAGACCATGTCTAGTTAATTGTAGCAAAAATTATCAAAATATGTCATAAAAACAATTTCTATGATTTAAATGAGGCACTGTAAACCATATATAAAAATAAATATTCTATTTTCACTAATTTTGAACACCATGTATAATGAAGTGTTTTTGGACAGATTTATAGAATTTTTTTTGTTTGTTAATTTTTAATATAGAATCCACCATTAACATCGGCCAAGTATTTTACTTACACATTGTATAACTTGAAGTTTTAAAATTTATATTTCACTGTCGGAATAATAGGCAAGTCATAAATAAATTGAACCATAGTTTTTACTGTTTCTTAATCTTATAAAATAATTTTGTGTATTCTTTGCATGAAAATTGTAATGTGCCGTTCATTTCGCATAGTGTTCCCATAATTCCAGTCTCTATGTGCATGTCACAAGCGCCTACTTCTATCTTTGATTGTCGCATACAAAACGAGAGACGACTGAAGCTGCCTAGTTTGACTTCTTTAAATCCCCTATCCCAGTTTCCAGTTGAGGTGTGTCACTGCATGTCATATGTGTGCAAATGAGAAAGTTGTCTTATATTTTCACATTTTAATTATTCCAGTGTGTTTTTTAAAAATGGAATGGTGCTAGTAGCAAATCTGATTACACAGTCGCACGAAAAAAAGTCCAAACCCAAAAGAGCCACATATCGCTTCCGAAAAAATTCGATGCGCTGAACATGATCCTATAGTCAAAAGTTATGATTTCACGACAAATTTCAGAGAAAAGTGAAATTTTTTGGTGAATCTGGTTCAAATATGGGTCAAAATTGATTCTTCCTCAGATTTTGTTCAAATATATCATTTTTGTAGTATTTTGAGGTGCAAGACACGATGCCTTTAGTAAAATTTACCTATGACTTTGATATTTCTCAGAAAATCCACTATTTGGGTGAAAACTGGCTCAAAAATGGGTTAAAACTGATTTTTTCCTAATTTTTGACCAAATATATCAAAATTTCGAGTTTGAAATCAAAATCTTGAGTTTGAAACCAAAATGTTGTGTAGGAATTCGAAATTTTGAATTTGGATTTAAAAGTTTGTTTCAAGATTTTTTGTGCTTTGCATGGAACAACAGAAGAAGTGTGCTTTTTCTATGCTCTCAGCTTTCTATTTTCGTTATTGAAAACATTTTGTTATCTACAGCTTTATCAGGGATCCTAGAGAGACTAGGGACCCGAGAGATCTAAGGGACCCCAGGGCTAATACTGCCGCCTTTCCGACTGACCCGAGACAGGTTGCAGGACGCGTTGATCCAAGGCAGAAGAATATAGGTAAGTTTTTTTAGGTTTCGCCGAATGGGAAAATTTTGTAATGTTTCGATTTAGCTCCCCCTCATCCACCGCAAAATCAAATACCACCGCAGCCCGTGAGACCCCCGGTGCAGCCTCCCGTGGTGCCCCCGCCCCAACCCGTTCAAGGACCTCCGAGACCCGCCCCGGCAACTTCCAGTCCCGGTATTGGACCGGCTGGCGCTTCAGATCAAGAAAAGGTAATTTTTTTCGTGTTTATCAGTTTTCACGAGTATAATTTTTTTTATGGATAAATAATTGGTAGGGTTGTTCTGGATTTGCAAATGCAAATATTTCCAGTTGACAGTTCCGAATGTGAAAGCGAATATTAACAAAAAATTACTAAAAATACATCAATATGTTAGTAGGTGCAAAAGTAAAATTAACAGATGGGAAATACAGGGTGTAACTTTAAGCACATGCAATCATTTCGGAATGTATGTTGTATTTTGAAGAAAAAAATATTACATATTTTCTGAAAACAAACTATTTTCGAGTTATTACCTTTACAAATTTAAAATAAGCAAGCTTTTTGCATTTTAATAAATAAAGAGTAAAATTAATGAGATACTATGGCTCAATGTACCGGGTAGGAAAGTACCAATGGTCTATCTGAAGTTAGGTGAGAGCGATAAAGTAAGCCATAGAAATCCATGCGATAGAGAAGGATGGCTATAGTGAAGGCGTCTCATAGTCACCGCCCGTTTCGCTCTTCCACAAATAAGATCCGCTTATTTGTGGAAGGGCGAAATGGGCGGTGACAATTAGATGCCTTCACTATACCCATCCTTGTCTATCACATGGGTTTCTATGGCTTACTTTATCGTTCGCACGTAACTTCAGATAGACCATCGGTACTTTCCTACCCGGTATATGAAAGAAGTTAGTAGAATTTTTGAAATGTTTAAATGTATTTATTGTATTTTCACAAGTTAAAGGGAAAATACATCCCAACAAAAAATTTGAAACTTTTATTTCAGAAAAAGAAAAAACATAATTGGGTATCTCACCAATTTTTATCAAAATGAAACTTGTTTCAAAATAAATTTTGAAAGATGGTGCGTTAAAGAGAGTGCGAATTTCAAATTTTATGCAAATAATTATTCGCGCTTGCTAATGAGAATAATTTTTTTTTAGGCTGCACTGATAATGCAAGTGTTGCAATTATCGGATGAACAGATAGCGATGTTGCCTCCAGAGCAAAGGAATAGTATTCTCGTGCTCAAGGAGCAGATCGCCAAGAGCGCACATCGAACCTAGAGCGAGTGTAACATAATTTTTTTTTATGAATAATATGCTTTTGTGTTAGGTTGTAGTTTCTCAATAATGAATAAAGTCAATAAAAATATAGATGTTTTCTTTGAGTTTTGTTTATTTCTACGGCTGAAAATAAACCACGTTAAAATTGATTTTGCTCTTGAAGGTCTAGTCTGATTTCAACGATTTTTTTTTAATATATGCTAATTGCTATGTAATGATGTAACGATAGAAATTTTTGTTAAAATTTTGCTCCCAATGTTTTCAAATTATTCGCTGTTCTTCACTGTCGGTTTTTCCAGGAGTAATTCCACAAAAGTTTCGCTGTACCTGAGAAATCCGTCTGAAATATATGAACCGTTCACTGAAAGAGTAACCCACACTACATGCCTTAATCAATAGGAAGCATTTTAAATGGTTGATGAGGGATGGTGCACCATTTAAATGTGACAGAACTTTTTAACCCGTTGGCGGACTTAAAAAATTACTTTATGGGAAATTTAATTTTCTTTCTTACTCTTTTTCGTTTTCAAAAAACTTTGTCGTTTTCAACAAAAACAGGAATAACTAATAATACGTATAGTCCAGAGGGTATCTGTTTCAAAAAGCCATATTTGGGTGAATCGTATATGTACGGAGATTTTTGGCATTTTGGTTTTCAAATATCACTGGAATTGAAAATTTTTTTATGCACATAAAAAAAACGTGGGCTTAACTTTTGGCAGCACAATATGTTAAAAAAATTAGAAAAATGTCATATTTTTCTTCCTATTTAATTATGTATCTTTTCAAGAGTTGATTTTAGGCAAAAATGGAAGAGGAATAAAATGTTTGCAATTAAATTTTTTACAACACATGTCTAGTTACAAATCGAATGAACCATGTTTATTATGGTAAAAATCGAAAAAATCGCAAAAATGGGGTTAAAAAACAATACTTTTTAGGGAATTTTTTCGGGGTATTTAAATTGGGTATAGAACCTTTATACTTGGCTCAAAAAAACTTCATGTTATGTAGAATTATCACACAAATTTCATCAAAATCGGTTCGATAGATTTTGCATAATAATTTTGCAATCCCGATTTTGAAAAAAAAATTGCAAATTTTCAAAGAGCTCTGGCGCTTGTTTAAACATTGGTCGAATTTTCTTTCGAGCAGGCCAAAGCGGCCGCGCTCTCTGCTTTCCCCACCACCATCCGTACGATTTTATTGAATTTCTCGCTTGCATAAATAACTTTAAACACGTTTTAAAGTAGGTTGCCAATGAAGAGAAGTATTGTAATCTTAAATCTGGTAAGTATTCGGAATACCAAAGGTATTTTTCAAAAAATTAGCCCGGATGTCCCAGTACTTTTAGTGTAAATGACTGCTATAACTACGTAACTAATTGATCAATCGTTCTGTTTTTTTTTAAAGAAGCGTCTCCAAGAATTTTTAAAACCTATTTTAAAAAATTTGATTTGGTTGAATATTCACAAAGTTATTCTCATTGTTTATAAGTACAAACATTCGACCCATGTTTGAACAAATGCCAGAGCTCTCCTAATGACGGATTCGAATTTTTCAAAAAGCGTTTGAAGGCTTGAGAGCCCTTCTATATGTGATTAAACTGTCAACTGTCAAGTATCTAAGGGCCTCGGTTTTTGCTGTGCAAAATTTTGAAAACTTGCAAATTTTTGTTCAAAATCTGAATTGCAAAATTATTATGCAAAATCTATCGAACCGATTTTGATGAAATTTGGTGTGATGATTCTACATAACATGAAGTTTTTTTGAGCCAAGTATAAAGGTCCTATACCCAATTTAAATGCCCCAAAAAAATTCCCTAAAGAGTATTGTTTTTTAATTCCATTTTTGGGATTTTTTCGATTTTTACCATAATAATCATGATTAATTTGATTGTAACTGGTGGCTTCCAACGCTTTCAAATGTTTGGCCCTTCTTCATTGTCGGCTTTTTCAGTAGTGGCTTCAAAAAAGTTTCGCTTTGCCACTGTTTTTACCCGTGTAGCAGCCAAGCGAATAGTATCCTTTTTGTTTGTTTTAGCGTATAATAGTTTTCATTTTGTGTATCATTCTCGATTTAATTGTTATTGTATATTGTTTTGGGTTAATTTCAGATTAATTATTATAATATAAATAATGGCATAAGTGCGATCTCTGCTAAAGATGCGCTTTCATACAGCACAGTATAGTCGTTACAATATCAGTTGGAACCGCATAAAGACATTTAACTCATAAATTTTACGGAATCCATAGGCATCCAGAAAAATTTTGTTATTTGCCATATTACATCTCTGGTAAAATCATCAATATTCTTTAATTCTGTATTTTTCCGTTTCCTTTTTGTACCGTGATTAATAACGTCTCCTTCTTTAATTATGCGATAAATTGACATTTTTGATATCTTACTTAATTCGCTAATCCGTTTCCTAATTTCTTTATCACATTGTTCACTATTTTCTCTTTTCAAACATTCATATACAGTGTGGGCCATTAGTGTGAGAAAGTAAAATCACTGCCTTATTATTCATAATACAGAAAAAAAGTTTATATAAAAGTTGTACAGAATCAAAAAACCTAAAGGACAAAATTAATTTGAAACACAAATGAGTAAAAACGGGACACGCCAAATGTTACATTTTTTAAATAGAACACCCTGTATATTTTTATACATGGATTTATGAGAAAATTCAAAACTTTCTAAAAATTACCGTATTATAAAAAATGCCCTGTATAAAATATCGATATTAGCTAATATACGAGTTTTGTCTAACATTTGCCTATAACTCTGTCTAATTATTTTGTTCCAAGTATTAATAGCTGAAAGTTAATACAACTTCTTCAAGGTCGTTTTTTCCAAAATTCGAAGAATTTTCTACAAAATGTTAAACTGTTCATATTGCCTTATATACACAATTTTCTCGGAAATCCATCTGTTTAAAAATATATTTAAACAATTTAATATTTGGCGTGTCCCGTTTTTACTCATCACCCTGTCTATATCTAATTAATTTTGTTGTTTAGGTTTCTTGATTCTGTATAACTTATATAAGCTTTTTTTTCTGTATTATGAGTAACAAGGGAGTTATTTTACTTTCTCACACTAATGGCCCGCCCTGTATAATTAAAATAATACGTTGACTTTGTACGTGTAAATCTTTGTTTTTAAACTCTGAATTTATTTCGACGCTTTCGACAAAAATCTGCTCAACTATTTGGGGATTTTCCCAGTTTATTTCATTATCTTCCGTTTCAAACGGTCTCCAGAAAAAAAAAACTACTAAATTACCAGATAATTACATAAAATATTTATTTTAATAACTATTACTCTTTACTGGTTACGATATGAATAAATAATAATATTAACTAATAATACGTATTATACCAACAAACAACAAAGCCAAGCACTGCTCTCCACTGCACTGGCAAAGGGAAGTGAACAGCGTTTGACACCAAACTAATTATAGAATACCCTGCAAAAAATGATTTACGACCTAGTGGACCAAGAGGTTTGCTTTGATGACCAGTGTGCCACCGTCGATTCTACATCAGGCGGACTGATCTACCAATACCGGGCTCGCCCAATGGCTATTCGAGTATAAATTAACAGACACATCATGGCTAAAGCATAAGAAGTAATTTCAAAAGAAGTGCAGACGGTTCTGTGTAAGATTCACAGATTCATGTGTTCCGGTACTCGTATATCATTCCTGGTTTAATTTTATTGCAGTTTTATGTTTTGGATTCATTTACGATGTATAGTACTGATTCAGGTGATGAAGTGGCTGAATATGAAAAAAAGAGTAAAAACATTTAGTATCTGTTTTAACTTTCCTAATTTGTCCTTGTGTACTTTTATAAATACTCCAGGGCTGCATGTAGTAGTTTACTTCACTCATTTCGATTGACACTGCAATTCACCAACTAAACACGGTGCTTTGAAAAAATTGTAACAAATACTTAACACTTGAAAGCGGAGAAATAAATATATAATTAAAAAAAGGATTGGAATCATATTAGCCATAACAGAAAAACTGAACTTTGAAATTAGTGCCCATTTTTATTAGTTTATTCATTTTAAAGTGTATATCGAAAACAGGTATTCCCTCATAATTTTTATTAACCAAATATGCACAGCAACGAGAATTCTATCACTTCTGTTCCTTGAGTATATTCTTGTGCCTTTCCGGAACGAAAGGCACCTCTCCCGGTTTGGAATGCGCTCTCCTGTTGGCTTCTTTCCTCTTGACCTTCTCTTTGACAATTCTAAGCTCCCTTTGGGCGTTGTAGATGTGTTTAGGCACGTGCCTGTGCCTGCTGATCCTTTTAATTTGCGGATGGCTGGCGAACTTCTCCTTGAGAGTTTCGCTGTACCTCAGAGCGGCTTTTTCCCTTGGTTTCAACTGAAGCAAAACAAATGTATCGCTTGCTGATGATGAAATAATTAGTACATTAGAACCTCTATTTAGGAACACCTCTGATCAGTGAATACCTCTAAATATGGGACAATTTTGCAATTATTGCAGCTGGCGAACAATATAATTCAAATGACCGAAAATTGGAAGCGGAAAAGTGAATGACAAATAGACCTGAAATTAAAAACTTTTCAAAAATAACAGAAACCTGCAGCAAACGAGAAAATTTCCAAAAATTTTTTTTCAATATTTTTCCCCATATCTAAACAATGGACGCGACAATATTCCATTCATTTTACGATGCTCCACATGGGTGTTCCTTATTGGGTTTCACTGTACAAATACGCTTGTTAAATAAGAGAAAATACGATAAAAACTTACCGGTCCGAGTTTTTCCGAGGCTCGAGCCTTCCAAATTCGAATGTTCATCTCGTCGGACCCGCTCATGATATATTTGTTGTCAAGAGACCAATGGACGCAAGTGACACGCTGCATTCTCTTTGTATGGTAGATCTCTCTCGAATGCCCTTTGTCCATCTCAAATATTCTAATGGACTTGTCGTAACTACCTGAAACGAATTCTTTGCCTGTTGGGGAGTAATCTACAAATGTAACGGCGCCAACGTGGTCCCTGTGAAGGTTGACTGGTTGTTTAAGGTTGCGACTGTCAAAAGTGTACAAACTGTAACAAATAAAAATTTAAAATAAGTTTATATTAATCGAAGAACGCATTTAGTTGGACTATATTGTAACTAACTGTAAAATATTTAAAGTACTTACATAAAGTTCTAAATGTATTTAAATTCATTTACATGTATTTTTACGACACTATATTGTTTTTAGTAATTTTTATGTATGTAAAAGCATTTTTTAAATACTTTCCACAAATTTGTGCGCCTATTGTCCTATATCTCCAACTTACTTGTAATCCTCGTTAGCGCAGGTGAAGATATACGCCTCCATGGGGTTCCAAGACAATTTGTTTGTCTTCAAATTCATAATAACTTTCCTCAACGGTTTATTCTCCCTCATATCATACAAAATTATACTTCTGTCACTAGCACAAGCCGCTAATATGTTACTCTCCACTGGATTGAATACAATGTCGTGCAAACTATAGACCCCCCATTCAATTGTTCTTATCGGTTCATTACGACTCTCTTCCCAAATCTGACATACTTCTCCAGAAGTGGCAAAAATTGGCTTCTTTCTGTGATGACTGATACCCGTAAGGACAGTTTTGCTTAACACTGTATTGATAGGTTCCTCCTCTTCCCCAAATTGTGGAACTAGTGATTTCCATGTTTTAATACATTTGTCGTCTCCGAGGGTTATGAAGTGGTCTCCGCTTGGAGTGTACGTTATTCCTCTTATGATACCATTATGTGCTACGAAATCTCTCAAACTTATGCGTTGGGCAATGTCCCAAACTCTCACTTCTCCATCAAAGGCGCCACTGATTAAAACCGAGAGACGTTTGGGATGCTTTGCAATGCAAGACACTCCATCCCTGTGGCCATCCAAATTTCCGATAAAGGGCTTTGCAAATACTTTTTCTAGTTTAACAGCGTTTAAAGCTCTGGTATATTCTCTAGCAGCTTCAAAAGGGTGTAATGCTGGGTCATAGTTTCTAACAACTAGAACGAAAAGGCTGTAAAAATAAATAAAAATCAGTTATTTTCCACATACCCTTGTGGATATCAAATTTGGTTTCTCGCAAATATTCGTCAGGATTGCGGCTAATTACTTTTACTCTCATCTTTAAAAAATATTTTTAGTTAAAAAATATGCACCCAATTCTCATTTATATTCCTAAAAACATAATGTGAACATAACCTAATACTAGGGTCCAGGGTGACCAATGCATAAAAAATAATTGCACTAAATGTGTACAGAAAACTGTAGTAATATTTACCCCGTTAATTGAAACGCGGGGAAATATTTAAACAAGGAATCTGAACATCCATTTAGAAAATGTATTCTACTGAGAAAGTGCCTATGCATAACAACCAGGGGCTGTTCACTTCCCATATAACCCAAAAGTCCCAAAACCAAAAACGTATTATATGTTTTGTACCAAAAACTAAGCTTTGGTAAGACTTCATGTCGCCTGTGGCGCTGGTATATTAAATAGTGGGGCGGTAACTGTCTCCACCAATCAGAGAAAGGCCAGTAAATAAACATCTGAATTTCAAAGGAATACAATTCTTAACAAATTTATTTATTCTACAGTTGTTATATTTCGAGGGAATACCTAGTTTGTGGAGTTGTTAATTTTTCATAAGTGATCATGTTGTTGTTGTGTTCCGGGTTGCATTATCAATCTCGAAACTATATTATTTTTTTTTAATTTATAAGGTAACAAAATTAACTATACTATATATCATATAGGTACCTAAATTATATTACATGGTTTCTTTTTAAATATAACGGATTATGGTACTAGTGTGGATAGCACCTAGCTTCAAGTTTAGGAGGGAAAATTCTGATTTTGGTTGGTTTAATTTAAATATTACTATAAATAAAATGAAAGATGTATTTGATGTGGGTTATTTATTTAATATTATGATAACAAGTTACAAAGTTTTTACAACAATTGACTTTTAACAATTATTCGTAAAAATATACGTATCGAAAACTCGAAAATTTTTATATATAAATATTTACAAAAAATTTGATGCACATAAAGACTAGGTCACTTTAAATAATTTACAACATTTAATAACAGGTTTTTCATTGGTCCAACAAATCACTGAAGAAAATAAGCAAAAATATTTGAAAATAAGTCCGCTACCTCTACCAGAAGCTGATGATAATTATTAGCAATATAAATTACTAAGAAAAACTTAAGAGGAGGTCTATAATAGCGATTTATATTTGTAAAGTAGGAATTATGTGTCACCTCCTCAAAAATTTTTTTGTAGCAACAAACAATTTCAATTTCATAACTAAAATGAAAAGTTTTTATAAACACTCAAGATAAATTGTATAAACTGTGGAAAATTCTAGCACTTCTCGTCAAGAAGTTTTTCTAAGGTATCACAAGGTACACAAAGATTTGCGTCTTTTCTTTCACATATTTCATATATTAAAAACGACTAGTTCACTGTTAGTTACTTATGTACACGATAATTGTCTTTACACCGGCTTAAATTAAGCAAGTGGGTTATTATTGTTAATTTTCAACACTACGTTCGGAATAGTTCTACACATTCAGGTCTGCCATCATTTTTCTAAAATCAGCCAGTGTGTTGTAATCCGGATCCAAGTCTATATCGGCGAAGTCCCTCTTGGAATCGGTTTTCACAAAACTAGGATGGTATCGACTGAGGGAAAGTGGGCACGGCAGCAGTTCTGGCATAACTGAGTGGTGCGTTATTAAAGAAGTTAGTGATGTGAATTCCTTAGTGAAGCCCTGAAACAAAACAAAACAAATTAATGAAATTGTTAAGGCTAAAAGTGAAATTATATACAGGGTGGTCCCGAGGTAATGGGTCAAAATTCATGGGTAGATTCCCGAAGAAAAAATATTGCGATTTAGCCGAACTTATCTTAGTCCAAAAGTTGATAGATACAGGTAAATGTAAATTATTTTAGTTTATTTCCATTTATTTCTTAATAAATGCAATTATCTACATAAAATTTTGGGGTTTGGGGTTCTTTGGATAGAGGAATTGAAGTTTGTTCACATTTTGGTTAAAGTTCATAGAGGGCGCTAGCTGCAGTAGATTTAATGTGTTAAAAACGACATAACTTTTTTATACTTTAAGGTATCTCATCTTTGGTAATAAATTTTTATTTTTCAATTTTTTTGCATAAAAAAGGTACAATTTATTATAGTAGCTATCTCGCACCGTTTTAGAGATATTTGGCTTTGAAACTTCCAATGCTGTTGCATTAAATTACAATTAAGTACCTACAGATATTATTAATTTAGCCGTATGACCAGATTTCAATTCCTCTACTCAAAGAACTCCAATGCCCAAAATTTTGTGAGGATATTTGCATTTGTTAAGGAATAAATAAAAAAAAACTGAAACAATATTTTACATTTAATACCAGAGTATAGTTAATATATATAAGGTTAAGGTTGATAGTTAAAGAGATACAGGTATCTCTTTAACTATCAACTTTTGGACTAAGGTAAGTAAGGTAAGTCTAAATCACAATATTTTTACTTGGGGAATCTACCCATGAATTTTGGCCCTTTACCTCGAGACCACCCTGTATATATTTAACACTCCTGCTGCCAATATCTCCGAAATGAAGAAATTTAGTTTTGTTCCGGAAATTGGAGTTGTTAGGTCTCTCGAATAGCTTCAAATTGTAGTTAGAATTGTTAGTTTAAATCTTGCTGTATAGATGGAGCGGGCGATACTAATAAATTTTTTGATCCCTGAAACATGGATAAGCAGTCCATCTGAAAGATCGTTAAATTTTAAGTAATTTTTGTAATATAAAGTTTTTCCCTATATTTACTTGTTTTCGAGATATGTCGACTTCAATATAGGAAAATCTATTATTTTATCTAAATCACACCGAGAAAAAAATATTCTTTTAAAATATTGTTATAATGACTTTATTCACACCACATACTAACTAACAAACAATAAATAAACTTTAAAAAAATTAAGTGCCGGGAGTCTCTAATTGGCGCAGTAGGCGAAAATTTTTAAAATTTTCAAGGTCACGCGTTTAAAATTGCTACCTTTTTGAAATATCTATTCACAAATTACTTACTGATGGTATAAATAAATTGGAATAAACTAAATATATTTCATTAAATTATTGAATATTGTTTATAAACAAAAAAATCGTTTGTGAAGTTTACCAACAAATTTTAATTTTCCTCGCCGTGTTATGATTTTTTCTTTATCTTTTTTTATATATGTATATGTACATATATTGTGGGAGTTATAAGTGCAAATCCGAAATCCAGGACCATACAGCTGTTCCCGGTACAATCACAGAAAATCCCGGTCATGCCCATATAAGTTCTTTTAATATGTCGTCAAGATCTGCACTAAAATTTATGAGTCCACAAAACACACCAGGGTTGTCCGAATTTTCTGTGTCGTCGTGTCTGCGAAGTGCTAATTTGAAAGCTCCGCAAAATTTTATGCAATCTATGATTTTAGATAATGAAATAACGATTTTTCGTCATCTGTTCATTTTGTTTCCGTATATTATCCCAATATGCAGAATCTAACTGACTTCTAATGTTTATTTTGCCTAATGACTTAAATGACTTAAATCTTTCACACCGTATATTGTCCATGCTTTATCCCCACCGAAAAGTAAGCACGGAAAACAAAACAATGTATTTTTTATATCACACCCGCACACCCACTCTGCTTTTGTGTACCTATACATTATTGTTAAATTATCTTTTATAACATTTACTTCGGCTTGTTCCACTAACTTCAATATTTAATTGTAGTGTTGGCCTACCTAATTCTTTTATTTTTAGTTTATCCTCATAAGGCAGAGAACCATAATTATAATATCCGTCTAAACACCTAAACAAAAATATTCACACATGCCGCTCGCAGAAATAAATCACATACCACGTACGAAATATTACTGCATTTATTAATTTATTTACTGCAGCAGTGGCTGCCGTTGTTGCAGCCATATAAGCCCATATATTTGTGTACTGAGTCACGTGCCTGATTAGCCAATAAAAACAAAGGACGCATCTAACTGTTCGCTGTGCACACATTTTGTATATGAGTTTGCATATATTAAGGAGCGTAGCTCGCGTCATAATAAATAATAATAACGAGCGTTCAAATAAAAACGTGGTCAAGTTGGTTCTGAAAATTTGGACGTAGGGCGTAGCGTATAGCAAATGAACTTAAACGTCATCTGTCAAAGCGCTATATCCCGCTATCAATTTGAATATTTTCATTTTAAAAAGCGTTTAAAATGGTGTTTTCTCAAGAACAAAAAGTGTTTATCATATATTATATATCATATCATATTGAGGAATGTTTCATAGAATTTCAAAATCAATTTCCCGGCGTTGTTGAGTACAAAATTTTTCAAAGTGCAGTTCAACATTGTGTTAATGTTTTTCGTGAAACGGGCAGTGTAACAAGAAAAGAAGGAAGCGGCCGACCTAAAAAGCGGACTGAAGAATTAAAAGAAAATGTCCAACAAATAATGGAAAATGCGCCAAGAACTTCTGTACGTGTTTTATCACAAATGGTGGGAGTATCAGTCGGTACCTGCCACACAGTGTTAAAAAAAGATTTGCGTTTGTTCTCCTATCGTTTAACTTGTCAGCAAGAACTTCATGAAGTTGATTTTCCGCGACGGGCTGTATTTTGTGAATGGTTTTTAAACAACTACGGTGAACTTCATAATATCACCTTTTTTTCTGATGAAGCCTGGTTTCATTTAAGTGGTTACGTAAACTCACAGAATATGAGAATGTGGTCTTCTGAAAAACCAGATAACTTTTTTGTCGAGGGCCCTCTACACGCTCAAAAAATTGGAGTTTGGTGTGCTCTCAATCGAAGGAGGATTTATGGACCTATTTTTTTTAATGGTACTCTTACTGCGCAAAGGTATAGAGAAGAAATTATCGCTCCTTTTGTTAACCAGCTGGAAGAAAACGAAATTACAAACTTTTACTTTCAACAAGATGGCGCAAGGGCACATACGGCAGGCGAGACGATGAATATGTTGAGGGAAGTTTTCCAAAATCGACTAATAAGTCTCAATGCTGAACATGAATTTCCACCGAGGTCATGTGATATTACGCCGTGTGATTTCTTTTTGTGGCCTTACCTTAAAAACACTATTTTTGAACTGCCTATGAAATTAACAATACCCCGAGCATCTTAGAAAATGTATTTAATTCTTTGAGGAACAGGTGTGAAAAGTGCTTGGAACAAGGAGGGGGACACTTTCAGCAGCTGCTTTAATTTATTGTTATAACAAGGAGGGGGACACTTTCAGCAGCTGCTTTAATTTATTGTTATAACATTTGTTTAAAACCGACACTGTTTTGTTTTAAACAAATGACATGAGCCACTGCATTTTTTAATAACATTTGATAAAATATGTTTCGTCTCTGCCCCTCAAAATATTTACCATTGTACATTTTTTTTTTTGTAATTGACCATTAGTTTTTTTTATAATTTATTGTTTGTTAGTTAGCATGTGATGTGAATAAAGCCATTATAACAATATTTTAAAATATTTTGTCTCGGTGTGATCTAAACAAGATAATAGATTTTCCTGTTACATCATATTATTGCATATTGAAGTCGACATATCTCGAAAACAAGTAAATATAGGGAAAAACCTTATATTACAAAAATTACTCAAAATTTAATGATCTTCCAGATGGACTGCATTTCCACGTTCCAGAGAACAAAACATTTTTTAGTATCGCCACGCCATCTATACAGACAGATTTGAACTAATAATTCTAATTACAATTTGAAGCTATTCGAGGATCTAACAACCCCAATTTCCGAAACTAAAATAAATTTCTTTATTCGGAGATATTGGCAGCGGGAGTGTTAAATGGCATACCCTGTATATAATATATACAGGGTGTTTGCTAAGTACGATCTGTAACTTCAGGATACAATTTCTTACGATATTTAAAGAAAGCAAGTTCCTATAATTAAAAAATTACGTAAAAAAATCGTCAAAAATAAAAATTTTTAAGTGAAACGTCATTTCAAGTTCCAAATACAAAACGTCATTGCAGTTGCACCTCCTATTTCATTATTTATCTACATTTTTCAGTGTGACATTTTTGGCTAGGCAAAGCTATTTTCATAAAATCAATCATTGACAGATTTTCTAGTACAAAGGTTTATTCCGAGGTAATTAATTAATTAATTAATTAATTAATTATTAATTCTTTTCATAATACCCAAATCATAAAAAAACGAAAACTATGCCATAAATAACTTGACACAATGAAAATCATTGTCGTAGAAATTTTACATTTTACTGTACATAGAATAATTTTCTCGACATTTTCACTAATCCATTGCGTTGAAAATCGTATTTGTAGGAGTAGGAGTTACGTATAAATCGGTGCTATACTATTTGAAAGACGTATTGTGAGAACTAAAAACACTTACCTTAATTTTATAGCCCTTGTTTGCTCTCACAATGAGGTAATGCGCGATTCCAGTAGGTTGGAAACTTCTGGGCACCCTGAGGGATAAAGCGAAACACCCAGGCTTGCTGGTACTCTCCCTCACCATGAAAGCGCCCACTGGCTCCTGGGCCAGGATTTCCAGCGCTATCTCCCTGGGAATCCCAGCTTGAAACCACGGCGCTATTCTTAGTTCCCCTTCCTCCCTGTTGTTCAGCGAATCGGTCCGTTCCGGCAGGGGCGGCGGGGTGGGGGTAAAGCCGATGAGCGTGTTTTCCGTGCCGGTTTGCGGACCCGAGCTGGAGCTGCTCGAGCTGATCTGGGATATCCGTTTGCACTTGAATTCCTTCTCTGGTTTTGCGTTCAGTAGGGTGTTGTCTATTTCTATGTGTTTGGTTAGGTTGGAGTTGTTCTCTACCACCTCGTTCTTGAGGTTGTCCACGCTGTTGTTGGATTTGTTCTTCGACTCTTCGGTTTCGTTCACGTAACCGCCGGAGAGGGGTCTGTTTGTTGGGCTACCTGTTGATTGCAACGTGTTTAGTACATTTAGTAAGAATATACATAATACAGGGTGATTTTGAATAGAGTAGCACAAACGCTACCAATGCATCTAGATGAAAAAATAAGGCGAATGAACTAAATATACCTTAGACAAAAGTTGCACTCCTGAGCAATTACAGGGTCTTGAATGTTGTAGAGCTAACCAATATTTCCTTCAATTTATCTTGAACGATGTGGCGTAAATCATTTATATTTCGTACAGACATTTGTCTAGTGCGGACACATATTTTCTATTAATATTGTTTAAATATATCCACCAGAGGCGCTGCTGTCGACATACAACATATTACTCCAAAGAATTTTTCACCCTGTATGAAAATACATATCTTATTTACATTTTCGGACGTAACTAAAAAAAAATTTTTTTTCTCGCATATTTTCGATAAACGCGACAGTTTTTTTAGATAATTTACGAAAAACATACTTCGGAAATTTTACAGCGCCAATGATTGCAGTAACAAACACATCAACACACCATTCTGTAATAGCAAAAAAAACGCCTTTCTCATAAAGTAATTTTAATACATTTATTTAGGAGTATTCTTTATGTAACAAATAAAATTACTGGCTTGATTGGCTCTACAACATTCAAGACCCTGTAAGCCTCAGGAGTGCAACTTTTGTCTAAGGTATATTTAGTTCATTCGCCTTATTTTTTCATCTAGATGCATTGGTAGCGTTTGTGCTACTCTATTCAAAATCACCCTGTATAATATAATATAGAAGTATGAGTGTATTAGATTTCAATAAAATCTTACAAGGCTTTTTAAAGTTTGAAAAAAAAACATTTTTTTTGTCAATTTTGACCAAAGCCGGTCAAAGAAACAACTTAGGGTGGAGCTAATTTTAGTTAAATCTGGTTCTTTTGATAGCAGGAATCTGTGGTATCTCCACGTACACGGAATATTGGGACACCCTGTAAACATGTAGGATTTGTATTCTATGTTTTTCTGTGTAAAACTTTCAATTTATAAAATTTTCCGTGGTCTACTCACCTGGTGTACTACTAGTGTTGCCGTCGCTGACCAAGGGACAGCTATCCTCGTCGTTGTGGTTGGCGTTCCCTGTGAGCCCCATGGCGATCCTCTTGATCAGAGGCGGTTTCTCCGCCATCTTTTTGTACGAGTTCATCTCGGTGGGCGAATTGCTTTCGTCGCTGCTGGGGGTGGATTGTTGCGAACTCACCTTCTCGGCGGTGGGCCCCAGGACGTTGTACTTGTGCGTGTGAACGGGCTTCAGGCCGGGAATGGTGGATGGGGGCGCTAGGCGCAACGTGGAGGGGTCGGGGTTGGAGAGCTGCACGTCCATATCGGTGGGCTGGTGCTGATTGTTCTTGTTGGGGGATTTGTCTTTCTTTAAGGCGGCTGAGAGTTCCTTCGTCTGAGGACAGAAAAAAAATGATGGTAATAACGGGAGAGATGTTATAATTTAATTTTAGTTGTTACTTTTTCTATATTTGCGATTTTATGTATTTAATTTTTTTTACAGTTTTGTGAATGGGGACAATGTGGACGACTCCAATAAAGAGACATTCAGTTTCGTACGACAGAATGGTAAGTAAGAAAATGCATACTATGCCAAGGAGACATTTACTTTTAAGCGTATTAAATTGAATTAAATTAAACTTTATTTATAAAAAATGTAGGGTGTTAGATAGACAGTATTTGCAATTTTTGCATAGAATTTAAAACTTAAGCATGTACCAAAACTGGTTTGTATTGTTTTTTGTTTTTGACAAATTTCTGTTGTATTGTTTAAAATATAGTAAAATTTATTTTTAATAGGAGCGATTAGTTGGAAATCTCATTCAATTTTGTAACTATTTTTTCTAAAGCGGTATTGCTTGTAATGTTGTGTCAAGTGTCACTGTCTTTTATAAAGCCGCTTTATAGACCGGGAGATATTAGACTGAAGTTCGACGACGTCTTTCTCGTTTATGCCAGGTAACCGAGAGATAAGTACAATAAACTAAATTTAAAAGATGGACTGCGGGACACCTTTGTGAAAATTCAATTTTCCATTTCAAAAAAATAATGTGTACAGCGACGTATTTCTCACTTATGCCATGTTCGTAAGTTGAAGAGAAGTATCGATTTTATCACAAAATTTTTTTGGCATAAGTGTCGCAAGGGACCTAAAAATGGAAAACTTTGTAAGAAAATGTGGAAAAACATCTTTATTTGTCTACCAATTTCTCATTAATGCCAATTAGAAATATGACATTATTATATTCGAAAAGCTCATAAAAAACATTGGCATAAGTCCTACTAAGGACTAAAGAAAATAGGGCTTTGGAAAAGCTGCGGAAAATTTTTCGTTTTGGTCAACGTTTTTCTCGTGAATAAATTAAAGCTTATTGCAAAGAAAAAAATGAAAGTATTCATTTTTTTTAAAGGGCATAAGTCCCTGGTGAGGACTATATGCTAAAAATTTTTTGAAAAGTTGTAGGAAAATTCATGAAAATTTTTACGTCTTTCTCGCTTATGCCATTTTGCATGCACGTAGGAAACTACATTATAAAGTCATATAAATGTAGGCATAAGTCCACATTGGATTTTCATGTTGTAAATTAATTTGAATTTTAATACGAGTCAGGTCGACAAAGTAGAAAAATAATAGAAAATTGCCACAATTTTCTCGTTTATGCCGTTTCGTACACGAGTAGAAAATATTACTAAAAGCCATTTTCAAGAGTGGCATGAATGCCACAAGGTACCGTCGTATGTAAAAATTTTTAAAAAGTTTATTTCATCGCCTACGCAATTTTCGAAATACTTATACTTACTTGCATTTAGCGTATTTTTAATTTTTATAAATATAAGTAATTCATGTATTTAATGAAAGTTAATAATAAACTATTTCGGCTTAAGTCCCCACATATTAGAAATGATTTTTAATTATTCTTTGAGTCATGATCAGAAAAAGAAAAATTATATAATATTGCCACAAATTTCTCGTTTGTTCGTAAATGAGTAGAGTATTTTATCACAATAGACCATACGTATTTATGAACAATATATTTAAATTTTAAAAATTAAAAATATTATATAATTTGAATTAACCGCTTCAGTGCAAGGATGATCTACTTGAATTGAGCCGACTAAGGTAGAAGAAGAAGAAGAAGAAGAAGAAATAATTAAGCTAGAATACATAGGGAAGAAACTGATTTATAACTGATTTAATATCATGTATATTGAATTTTGTTTTTTGTTTCTGGTACTTTGTACCTTAATTACTTAATTTGTACTTTTATACATTTTATTTTTATATTAAAAGATTTATTTAAGTAATAGTAATTGAATTGAAAAACCGCTGCCAACTCAATTGTCAGAATGCTTCCTCAAAGACTTTGAATTACTAATTTTTAATTATAACTAACACAAACAATAACACTTAAAATAATACAAATTTTTATTAACTTAAAATTAAAGCATATCAAAAATAAAAAGTTTTTTCGGTTTTATGATTTTTTACATTTTCAAATTTCAAACAGTTTTATCTGCAGCTCTTGATGAAAACGGATCAAAATAAAGGCCTTACTACCAGCTTTATTATAAGTTATTAAGAATTATCGTAATAAAAAATAACATGTCGAAAAATCAAACTAAACCCAATATAAAGCTTTCTCTTTTTCATGAAATTTTTTTTATTTTAAATTTTTTATTCCCTTTTATAGTTAGAAATATTCATTTTTTATATAGATATCTTCTCCGACACTTGCATTATTTATCATACATTTTTTAAATTAATTTAAGTATATCGAAAATTGCGCAGGCGAGGAAATAACCGCAATTTGTAATTTTTGACAACTTTTTAAAAAATTTTACATACGACGGTACCTTGTGGCATTCATGCCACTCTTGAAAGTGGCTTTTAATAATATTTTCTACTCGTGTACAAAACGGCATAAACGAGAAAATTGTGGCAATTTTCTATAATTTTTCTACTTTGTCGACCTGACTCATATTAAAATTCAAATTAATTTACAACATGAAAATCCAATGTGGACTTATGCCTACATTTATATGACTTTATAATGTAGTTTCCTACGTGCATGCAAAATGGCATAAGCGAGAAAGACGTAAAAATTTTCATGAATTTTCCTACAACTTTGAGACTTATGCCTTCATATTGAACCCATAGAGGAGTGATGCCTACTTGACACAGTACATTATTTATAGTAAGTATCATAAATTTTCAACGGCATAAATGAGAAAGTTATAGAATGAAAATAAAAATTTTCCGCAGCTTTTCCAAAGCTCTATTTTCTTTAGTCCTTAGTAGGACTTATGCCAATGTTTTTTATGAGCTTTTCGAATATAATAATGTCATATTTCTAATTGGCATTAATGAGAAATTGGTAGACAAATAAAGATGTTTTTCCACATTTTCTTACAAAGTTTTCCATTTTTAGGTCCCTTGCGACACTTATGCCAAAAAAATTTTGTGATAAAATCGATACTTCTCTTCAACTTACGAACATGGCATAAGTGAGAAATACGTCGCTGTACACATTATTTTTTTGAAAAGGAAAATTGAATTTTCACGAAGGTGTCCCGCAGCCCATCTTTTAAATTTAGTTTATTGTACTTGTCTCTCGGTTACCTTTCAAAACTCCCAGAAGCATAAACGAGAAAGACGTCGTCGAACTTCAGTCTAATATCTCCCGGTCTATTAGTGGCGCCCTTGGTCCCGGTACATGCACTGAAATAATTTAATTCTAATTATTATTATTGTAAATATGCAAAACGTCCGTTTCATTTTCCAATTATCCTATTAAAATTATCCACAGCGCAGCTGCTCCAAATTTCACCTTACTTAGATGCACATCCTCCGCGTATATCGTTATTAAAATATCGGAAGGTTGCCGATTAAAAAAGTAATAGCAGTAATTACGCCATTCAGAGGTACTGGTAATAGCTGGGATATTTACGGCCGTCGTTAAAATATTTATACACTCTTATTGCATCCATCATCGGAATATTAAAAAGTGAGGTAAAGCGGCGTTTATTCCCTGTTAAAACTTCGTACTTGTGCTTATAGTCCAGGAAATACAGACTTGGACACGACTTTTTGTTGCGGCAAGCTGAAATTGTCACTATAGATACTAAATATTATGTACAATAACATGTTAGTTTCCAGTCATAAAAATTGGGGGAAGATTGTTTACAGGCTGGTAAATTCACGTAAATTCACGTTTTTCGCTTATAACTTTTTTCCGTTCATTTCCACGAGAAAACAGTAAAATACTTTTTTTTCGTCTTCAAAAGACCTACAAAACTAGCCCTCGAGCGTCAAAAAATATTGATTAGATCAAAAGTTATAAACAGAAGAAGTTTATTTATGACTTTTGAATTAAACATTTATAAACTGCGTTATTATTACCAGAACGTTTTTGCATCCTCTCATTGCTTATCGCTGTCTAATAACTCACACGAAATCTGGAATCGGTAAGTTGAATAGTTTACAAATTAACTAATTTATTAGTCAGGACGATCCCGAGGATCTTCCACAATCGCACTAATTTTTTTCATGGTAGATTTCATAATAACACATTGAAATCTATAATTTTTTGTTAGTTTCAAATTTGCAACCTGGAAATTTTTTTATTTTTTAGCCCTAGTTGCAAAATGAAGTATACGACGCACGAGCGTGATATAGTTATATATTATTACATATTCGGAAAGCTTATGAAAAGAGTTTTAAGTTAAAAAAAATCGTCAAGATTCGTTGAAAAACAACGGAGTTACAGACTGTCAAATATATTATTTTCAAGCGAATTTCCCTTTTTTAACGGCATATTATCCTCATTTTCTTCGGACCCACTGACTTTTGACAATATTTCTTATGCACTTAACATACTTCCACAAATAAAATATTTTTATCTGGGAAAGTACTCGGGTTGCCGGTTATGACAGTTTNTATATTATTTTCAAGCGAATTTCCCTTTTTTAACGGCATATTATCCTCATTTTCTTCGGACCCACTGACTTTTGACAATATTTCTTATGCACTTAACATACTTCCACAAATAAAATATTTTTATCTGGGAAAGTACTCGGGTTGCCGGTTATGACAGTTTGTTTAACAATGGGCCGTCAATTTTGACCGTCTTTAACTCCGTTGTTTTTCAACGAATCTTGACGATTTTTTTTTACTTAAAGCTCCTTTCATAAGCTTACCGAATATGTAATAATATACAGGGTGTGGCGTCTTTGGTGCAGAAAAAATAAAATGCAGATTCCTAGGAATATATGCAATAAAAAAGTCTTATAACGAGCGTTCAAATAAAAACGTGGTCGAAGTTGGCTCTGACACATTGGACGTAGGGAGTAGCTTATAGCGACCAACTTAACCTCATTTCTCAACGAGCTGTATAGCAGCTGTCAGTTTCAATAACGTTAATGACTATATAACTTTATTTTAAAGAATAATCGTGATAACAATAACAAACAATTAAAGGAGCTGCGGAAAG